TCGTAAAATCCTCAATACTCCTTACTTTGTCACTAATAAAATTATCCATAAAGATCTTAAGGTTCCTTATGTTTTAGATCTGGCCCAATCCAGATACCTATCCTTCCATAATAAACTTCAGAATCATCCTAACCCTCTCGTTTCTAACCTTGCTTCCTCTTCAATTCCTGATATCCCTCCGAGGCGTCTGAAAAGAAGATGGCCCCGTGATCTCCTAATGTAGTCATATCATTAGAGTACTACCATTGGGTAGTTACTCAGCAAGTGTATTCATGTCATTATATCAATTATGTCCAAATTTACTTGATGTATTTATGTAATACAGTTGTAAATGTCATAAAGAAATAAAAAAAAAAAAAAATTTCCTCATTAGCATAAAAGCATACAAAAAAGGCTGCCAACCGCCATTTTATGTTTTTATGAATAAAATCAATTTACCGGATTTATTTGAAGAATTGTTAAATAATGTAATTTTCTTTTTTCTCATTAAAATCTTTACTATATATATTTATAATTTTTTTTTTATTATTCTATTGTTAGTTTTCGGCTTTTTGGCTGCGCAGAGTCAGTAGGAACTTTGTCAGTGGTTGAGGGGCCAGTAGGGATGCATACAATAGTGAATGGAGGGAACTCCTGCACAAAGCTCCTCCTATGAAGTCTCCTTCTTCGTTTTCAAACCCTTTTCTTCTCAAAATGGCAAATGGCAACTTGGGGGAAGAAATGGATGGTGGTCTAAGGAAATGCTGACACTCAAAAGTCTATTATTAAAATGTTTTTTTTTTCGTCCCGAATGGATCTTCAGCTGTCTTCAAATTGACATGTAACGTTAATGAGTTTTAAACTTTTCGCAGAAATTTCATTTCTTCAATATTTGTTGCAAAACTAAAATATTACCAATATATTACTTTTATCTATGTATAATTCGTTACATTAATCTTTCTTCTTTAACGTTTCTGTATTTGAAATTTACTAATTTTTTTTTTTAGTTAGTAATACTATTTTGCCACACTCTAGAGCAATAAGTATTAGGGCTGAAATTATAAATATGGATTTCTGTCAGAATTTCTGAGGTGGCCAATTTCGAATTAATCAAATTTAAAAAGTTTTTTTAGATCAAATATAAAAATCTGCTTTTTTATTGTTTTTATCTTAATTGAATCTGTTAAAATGAGTTTTTGTTATGGCGTTACCTACTATTTGAGAATTAAAACCTAAAATTGAGGTGGTGAAAGAAGGTAGTTCTGGTTAGGTATTCATTCTTAAAATATGTGCTTATAAAAGTAAAAAAATAATAGTGATTAGTCATCACAAAATTCTTTAACATGTGTTAACTATAATAACTATAATCACTTAAATATAATAACTAACTGTCTATTTGCATGATAAATTTATAATGCTTTAATTTTATGATTAGGTATTTATCCACAGCTGTGAATTACGGTTGTTTTAATAGATCTTTATTTCTGGAACAATTTTCATTTTGTCATAATTATATAAGTGGCTTAGTATTAAGGGAGCGGGGTAGCTCAGTGGGTGAGCACTGACTTTCAGAGCTCAAGATCCTTCGAATCCAGCTAATGACTAGTAATTTTTCATTAGCCTGGATCGACCCTGGAATCGGGAGACCCTCCTGGGGCACACCCAGCCTCTATAAAGTGGGTACCCTTAATTAAAAAAATAATTAAGGGGGAAAATCTGGCGATTGAGAGTGACATGATTTTCTGTAACGTAGTTTCAATTTAAATCAATTATAAAATAGAATAGCCAGAAAGAGTTTAATTGAAGCTATAAAGCAAAAATGACTTTTTCTTAAATTGACTTTTTCTCCGGTTTCTGAAAGTGACAGATGTCCGTCCATCTTTGATATGAACCCACATATTATGTTTAATGAAGGTAATTTTAAAAAAATACACTATATGGTAGTATATCAAATACAAGGCATATTTAGGATGTTTAGACTTCAATAAAATTTTGTTAGGAATAGACTTATGGCTTACGAAAAAACATTTTTTTTTGTTCATTTTTTCAAAAGTTATATAAACTCATCATAATGAAAAGGATAGTTATTTTAGATTATTATTATTGAAATAACATTTAAACATGACGTGACATTCAACCCCAGTTTTTCCTGTATTTAGTAGACGTTATAATTAAACTTAAGCCTTAGACTCATTTGTCACCTTTCTAAAATAATCAGGAAAGCTTTTTTCACTTTCTAAAAATGTGAAAGAGCGTTGCTACTTTTACCACTTATCTCCTCCTAAATCCGAGGCTGCCTGGAATTCTCAGTATGAGTTAACATTTTCCTTATTGACTGGTGACTGGAAAAGTCACTTTCCAGCAACGTCACTTTATGAAGAGCTTTTGAAATATTTCCACTCTTCCATATGAAAGTATAATGTAAGTGGATTTTGGGGAAGAGCACTTTATATTAAATTTAATATATTGATTCACCAATGAAGGAGCACAGGTTCCGTGCCATTATCAATGATAATATAAAATCAGTGAAAATTTAATGATATTTTATCACATTACTCCATGCTGGTGCAACTGTTGAAGCTGACTAAATAACCTGTACAAATAACCTATCAACTGTCTATAAAAAAAGAGTGAATTTTGTGCCATGAAACAATTAGAGACGATGTTGAATATTTGATTAAACTGGTCAAAGAAAAAAAAATCAGCGTAGTTTATAAAATAACTGTTAATTGGTTTTATGTCTTCTAATCACCATCTCTTAAGATTTACTAATAGTAACAGGACATTATCCCCTCAAAGAATTGAAGTATAACCTCGCTTGATTTATTACGTTCGTTCAACTCACGTGAATTTCAAATGTTTAGTCCAATGCCCAGATTATTGTAAGTTATTAATTTAATATAGTACAGATATAATTTCAAATATATAAATGTTTTTGACTGCCTTTTAAATTGTAAAATTAGCTGTATAATGGGTAACTAACATATATTTACACTAAAAGCTATTAGTAATGCATTAAAACTGTCTTAAAAAATAAATACCAATCAAATTAACTGAACAAATATATAATACTGATGAATTAATTAATTTATTACAGTAGATTACAAGTGGAACACAAATTAATTACATTGGAAAAACATCAATCATGAATTTGCTCTTCATTTGTGTGTTTGTTCGTGCCTGTCAGTCAATATGTGTGTTTGTGCCTCTGAGCAGCATAGTAAGAAACAATATGATATACGACACTTAAATTACTTATTTAAGCTGGGTATATGATATTAGCCCGTGACACCTTTTTTTATCAAATATTAACATCTATCTAAAACTTGGTGAATGATTTCATCTTATCATAACCTAGAAAATTTTGATTTACGAACATTTTCAGAAATTAAGAGTTTTTTCATTAAATTTAATGCGGTACTAAAAATTAATTTTATGAATGATTTTATTATTTTGTGATAACTTGATCACAAAATCGAAAAATCTTAACCTGACTTTTTCTATTTAATTAGACACTTAAAACCCATCAACACCCCTTTGCTTTCCATTGGAGTAGTAAGATAATTTGATTCCAAAATCCATAAAAAATGAGGCCTACGAAAATATTGGACGGTTTAACGTATTTAACCTGGTTATTTTGACATATTGGCGTTGGTGGTCACTCCAAACGGCCCATTATTTTTTTAGGCCACTTTTTTTCTCGATTTGTGATAAAATTATCTTACAATTCAATTGAAAATCAAATAGGTGTTAATGAGTTTTAGTGCCTAATTAAATAGAAAAAGTCAGGTTACGATGAGCTGAAGCTATTCATGAAGTTTTAGGTGGATGTTAATTTATTATATTATGTAAATGTGAAAATATTTCCCGCCGTATTTTTCCATCCTAAAACGTCTAAATTATACCCGTCACCTATTTCCTTTTGAGACCCGTAGGCTCCTTGTCACTTTCTTAATTTTTTCCCACTTTGACTGTTACTGTACGGTATATGGGGGCGTCTCTTGGGATCTCGTGGCGAAACTAAATCGTTTGATAAATTTCTTTTTAGGATTCATCTTTGGGATCCCAAGGGACGCCTCTGTTTCCCGTTTTTATGCAGAGTTGAAGTGGCTTTATCCTTCCTACTACATACTAGACTGAAACGACAAGAAACCGCTCGACGTTTCCGATTACTTCAGCACTTACTAGACAAACGTTCTAAACTTCCAATTAATTACAAAAGACTCATATACATAACTATAATAATGCCTATTTGGACTTATTTGGAGAGTGACGAAAAACTAGCGAATAATAATTTCTACTTTTATAATCTTTTAAAAAAACTGTTTTCATAGAAATTTAATTGAAATTTGAAACATTTATTTTATATCTCAGAAGTCTAGGAGTTATTATACAATAATTGTTAATTTTTTGTTAATAATATTTTATTACTTTTGTGAAATAAAACGGAAAGACTTGCCAACTGCAAAAATATTTTAAGTATTTATGTAAGTGTGGATGAACAAATTGTTATAACATTCCTTTACTTTAGTTTAATAACTTAAGGCTCGATAATAGATTTTTAATTGACTAACAGTATTCAAATTATGGTGGTAAGTGAAAGTTGAGTGTTGTGTTTATCATATTTTAGTTTTTATAATTTTTTTTTTCGTCACAGATGTATTGAATTGGTGTGGATGAATTGTTTATTAACCATCATTTCATATTTAATGGCTCTTGTTTATCTTGGGTATCCATTGTTCGATCACGCACGATGAACGCGTCATACTATTCATTCATTCTGATGCCTGCCTGCTCCCGCATGACAACAGGGGGACAGGAAAACACAAGACCAGCGACTTATTGCTATCGGTGCCCAAAGGAGAACCTATTGTTGTGAGGAGTCCTTTATCTTTTATTTCTTTTTTAAACCCGTCTGGAAACGTCAGGGTGTTGGTAGATGGTGGAAGAAGATGTCAAAGAGGGCGGTGGGACATTGTAGCATTGTTGCCGAGGCACCTTCTATCGGGGATAACGAGGCGTCAAGAGTTGCGCCTGTGCCGCTGCATTAATCTCCGAGTCGGGGGAATATTAGGCCCAAAAGTGGGCGAGTGGTTGAGTTGAGGAGCTCTATTAGTACCAGTCAGCCGCTCATTTTTCCCAGCGCCTTCCCATGTCATCCAAGACGTATGGTTCCCTAGGGCGAGCCAAGGCCTGGGCTGTCTGCGCCCGAGAACTGGGGTATCACTATATGCCCTTGTATCAAGTAATTGGTGGATTCGTTCTGTCCATATGTTTCCCGAAACGTAGTAGGTTTTGATGTGGTAGGATTATATAATTTCATAATCGTATATGTATTATTTTGAAACAAATCTGAGCAGTATCTGAAGTGGAATATTTTAAAATACAATACAAAACATCACGTTCAGATAAATAATGGTCATAAAATTAAGATCCTAGATACATAATTGTGGGTAAATGGTTGACTGTCGTGAATAATAGTTATAGTGATCAGTCAAATAAGAAGGCAAAAATAAATTATTATATTTATTTTGACATTTGCCGACGTCTCGACGTGAAGTTCAGGCCTTCATCAGGGCTAAGAAAAGAACCAGATTACAAGCTATGAGAAAAATGAGTAATGTAGGTAAACAAAATTAAAGTAAAATAAGATCCTTGATTATAAGATCATAAGATCCTAAATAGTTGATGTTAAATAGAATTTTCTGAAACTTTGAAATAAACAAGTAATACAGTCAACAAACTATGTATTAATAATACAGTTGTGTATGTACTTTTTCGACCTTTCAAGAGCGATGTATTATAATGAATGAGATATTAAACGAAAAGAAATTTCATCGAGAAGCGATGGAGCATATGTAAGTTCAAAACTTAAAATCTTATTAAAATTACAATAAACGTTATTAAAAAATAAAATAGGAGATTTAAAAACAGTCGATAGTTAGGACCGAATAAATTGTTTTTTTAAATATTTTGAAGCGGACATCAAGACACAGAACGATTCCTTTGAATTATACTTTATTTTCAACATTCCCTCGGAGGCGTCTGAAAAGAAAATGGCTTCGAGATCTCCTTTTGTAAATACATTTTTTGAGTGGTACCGGTGGGTAGTTTCTCAACAAGTGGTTTCATGTTATTATATTATTTTGTCCACATTTCCTGAATTGTGATTACTGAATTCTTTTGGACACACATATCGTTAAAAAAAAAAAAAAAAAAGATTCAACATTTCTTTATTGAGTAATAGTAATATTACATTTTGTCACATTAATTAAAGTCTAAATTAAAGTCATATCAGAAAGTCTAAATTATACTGGGCAGCAAGATGTCGGATGGCCAAATGACCAACGACTGGCATAAGAAAGAAAAAAAAAAAACAAAGAAACAAAACAAACTAAATAATCAAAATAACAAATTAAACACAGGTATACTTAAATTCATTCACTCTGGAGAACTCTGAACCAAGCCTTTTCTCCACCTGTGGAAGGAAAAGCAGGAGTTAAGGAGATCCCAGAGCCTATCGCTCAGCCGCATCACTGGTATTAATGATCAATGGAGGCCAAACAGAGGCGCTATAAGCAATATATACTAGGCTCTACGTTCCACTGCTTGTCCTAAAATGTACATTTTTTGAGAAAAAATAATGGCCCTACATCATACCAGCGTTAGTGAATCTTGATGCCACGGTATCCATGAGTAATACATCATAAAAATAACAAATCTACTGTGTATTATTTCTAAAAGGTTTCTTTTTATCGGTTCTCGGTATCTTATATAACTCTCATGAAATCCAATGATTGAACAACCATTTTCAAGATTTCTTTCAGATAGAAAAAATAGTCACATTCCCTCCTCCCCCAAATTTCTGAGAAGAAATATCAGGAAAAAAACAACTTTATTTTCTAGTATCTCAAAAAGTCAGTTTCGGATTGTTTTTCATAAAAAAAAGAAAGAAATATCACGTCTTCAGGTCAATATTATCAAAGATACAGCGTATACTTGTAGATGTTTTGGCTTATTATTAAGAATGGACTATTTTAATTCGACTGAGAAAAGGAAAAGTGATTCCACCATCTCATAGTGCATTAACTTCTTTCTGTATTATTTTGTCATTTGTTCACTGACCTCTATACTATAAGAATTATTCGGAAGGGGCAACTAGTGATTTTAAATAACATGAATATATGCTTGTAATTTTGAAGTGAAAACTTGTTTAGCCGCGTTTTGCATTTTTTTGTGAAGATTGAATTGGATTGAGCCGTCAGATTTCCGATTTGTAAAGCTCTAGTAAAGTTGGCTGAAGTTGCATATGCCTGTAAAGTGTTTTTGCATATGCATTAAAATATCTTAGAAACTAAAAATCGGACCTGCATACTGTAAGTGAGGGAAATGTTCATAATTTCATCCTCTTTATAACGAGCTATTATCCAAAAATGTATCTTAACGCGATGCTGTGTTAGAGAGGCAAAAAGGAAAAAAAAAAGAGTCGAAAACCAAATTATGACGATTTTTATGGTAGATATGGATTAAAATATCTCGGAAACTAAAAGTCGGACCTGCATAATGTAATCGAGGGAAATGTTAAGCAATTCATCATCTTTATAATGAGGTATTATTTATAATTTATATTTCATATTATTAATCTCGTCTTGTTAATGTTTTCTCATTTATCGTATGGTCTAAACCAGCTTAGTTATTTTTTCTTATTTTTTACCATTTTTTGTTGTGAGTATATATTCAATGGTTCTTCGAATGCATGACATCTTAGAGCATCCAGTTCTATCTATGCTTTATTGGAACAAAGGAGGTTGTGGTAGGATTGGTCTGATGCACAGCTATGTTCACATCCAGGGTGTCGGAACACCTGCTTGGACTGCGGTAGCCCTTTACATCGGCCGCGGTGACCATTAGGATTTCTCGAGCGAAGAAGGATGGCTAGCCAGACGTAACCTGCCAAGCGGTGCGCGTCCTCAAGAATTACCATCGGCTACATTCCCACCCTTCTTCTTCCACAGTCCACACCTGATTACCTTTCACTCCTTCTGTAAATAGCTCACAGCTTAATAGTACATGTATTGTATTATCAACGTTTTCTTGTTCTTTTTTTTTATTTTTAGTAAAATATATATATATATTTACGTCTTTTAATTAGGTCATTGTTCTTACCTTATAGGTTAGATAACTAGAATTAACTAATTAAAACATCCCAGTATCACTTTTCGTTTCCTGCTTCCAGGTACCCTTAGGTCCTTAACAGAAAGTTGAACCAATACCATATTAATAATGGAAAACACGATACTTGTATGCGAGATTAAAAATATTATTTATAAGAAAATTCGTATTTAAAAAAAATGAATTTAACTCTGGTATTAATCTCCCACCCTCTTCTCTGACCCGAGAAAAATCCTATAAAGACCTTTAGGTTTACATGAAGAAACTTTATTTATTGATGATCTAATGATCAATTTCTCAAATACAAAATAATTTAACACACAACAACTTGAATTATGGATAGAAGTACTTTTTTTCCTTTAGTAATATATATTTTTCTTTTTCAGGTATGTGCTGCATGACAGGAAGTACTGTAAATTTGCAACAGATCATGAGTGAGTACCATAATGTTCTATTCCATAGATGCGTAACCTTTTATTCATAAGAGGCCGCAATGAGGTTAGGCAGTGCTAATTGAAGCCGCAACAATTCTTTATGGTTTACTGTGGCTATTTTTATTCACATATACATACTTACACCCATTTACATATATTCAGCTTAGTTCTATTAATTTTTCAAATTTTCGTTACTTAAATAATTTAATATCAATTAATTTTAGCGCTAGATTATCAAGTATCGCCCAAGAACGTTTGGGAAGCGCAATTACGTCACTGCGGGCACATGCGACATTTTCCTATGTTCCTATGTTCTGATCTACTTTGAATTTTGTTACTTACTTTTGTCGGCAATGTTACTGCATCTTCGACTCAGGACCACCCATCATATTAAAAAACTGAGCGATATTTGTTCTCAGCCACGAATCGCCTAATGTATTCCTGATCCGGGCAATTTATTATATCTTCTTGATTTAGCGATTATCATGTCCGGTCAAGTTTGCGTTTGCGTCTGTTAAACGATGGAAAATAAGAATCAAAAATGAGCGTGAGAGGTTGGGGTTTGTCGAGACATTGACACCGTGATTGGATATGAGATTGGAGACTGGGTCCCGCGGTCCCGGTAATGGATGGGCCGACAGCATGTACCGTCCCTCATCTGTCCCAGCTCATTACCTCCGACTTCCTTCCAAGTCTTCTTGCATTCGGTTTTGCTCGGCTGGTTCGTGAATCCCTTTCTTTTATTTACCTTGCATCTCTAACGAAACCTTATTGATGTGAATGAAAAGGTGTTTAAATGATGGATGTCCTTGAGATGTAAGTATAGAGAAAAAAGAACCGGGCTTTGAAATTTTTAATCTTTAAAAGTAAGCAGGAGGGTTAAAGTATTCCTTTTTTAATAGCTACAACGAAATATTGATATATTTCTTATCCTTTCCGGAAAAAATTATTAATTTGTCAATAAAAAAATATTATTTTACATACACCTTTCCCAATATAAATGACATGATATTTATGGAATCGGTATTTGTAAAGTAAAATAAATTATGCTGTCCACATTCATAGTAACAATGCCTTACCGAACACCATCAAAATTTTCTTTTTATAGATTTGAACACTTTATTTTCATATAAAAGCGTGCTACCCAGTTATATTAGGTTGTTAGATAAAGAGCATACTGGCTAATTCTTTAGACAATCAATAAAACTTATATATAAACATACAGAATTATTTAAATATACATGAGTATAATAAATATATATTTATATATTTTTCTCCTATTCTTTTTTTTTTCTTGTTTATGCTATATTTTATCATTTAATTTCCCTTTCTCTTTATACATATTTCATATATTTTACAAATATTAAAATGTTTAAAATTATACAATAGAAACAATTAAAAAAAAATCAAATTAAGTCTTAGCCCGTTTGTGACTCAGCTCCTGTGCCCGAAGTCGGTATAGATAATATAGGACAAAGATATCAATACATTTTTCCAAAATTTCTATGAAGTCTTTCGATGGCTTTGAGAAACTTCAAATAATGTATGAACCTAATGACTGAGAAAACTGGAAACAAATAAAACAATTGCAAGAAGGTTACAGAAAAAATTCAGGTAACATTCTTAAAAATTTCCTCAAAGCATTGACGCTGTCAAACAGTAATAAATAACTAAGTGATTCAAGTAAATATCATTAAAAAAAAAATTAAAGCACATTCTAAATCAACACTGAAAAAAATCTCTCTAAATAAGACTTCAAAGATTTCTTTGATCTAAAGGATGAGAATGATCAATCTTGGATGCTCGTTCGTTTATTATTCTATTGAATATGTGTCCTAATTAGTCGGATTTTTTTGTCTGTGGGAATTGTAATATGTTGTCTTGTTTTAAAATTATCTTTGATAAATCAAAACATTTATTCAACTATGGATCTGAGAGTTCTGTGATATAGAACTGTGTAAATACATTTTATATTTAAATAAATTCTGGTTTAAATAATTACAGAGTAAAATGTGCACGCAGTTCCGTTGCTCCTCTCATTTTCTAATACTGCACTAACTCATTTGATGAATTGCGAATTGCTAATAAATAGAAATTTCAGTACCTTGTTTGTAAATAGTGTGGATTTACGTCATTTAAGCAACCCAGTGTTCATTAGCAATCAAGTTACGATCCGATTTCGTAACTTTTCGAATTAGCCTATAGGCAGTAACTGGGAATTATCACGTGCTTTTAAGGAAGGATCTTAACTGGTTGCACAAACCCACAAATGAGGCAGCGAAGAGTCATTGATGTCCCTTCGCAAACGTTACACCGTAAATAAGCTTGAGAAGGCATAAACTTAACCAATGGAATTACCATACGTGGATTCCCATCCTTGGATCCGCTTTCACATCTTGCTGCAGGTGGAATACCCATTAACAAATTATGCAGGCTAAAGTTGTGAGATGAAATTTAAATTTTCAAAGTGCTTTGTATGACAGCAGTGTAAGAATTTGTGGATTTTTAATTTGTTATTTAGTTGCATAAGATTTATGTATTATTACTATTTATCTATGTATAGCTTCATACAACCATCCTCAGTACCATAAAAATACAATGAGTGAAAGGAATATGGCGAAATTGCTTTGACGGATTTAACCTTCCTGTTTAATAATGTTGCGTTTCCTATGCTGTACAGTGCGGCGAAAGTGTTAAAAACTCAAAATTAAAAGTTTAAAAAATTAAGATAATACTGTTTTTTGTAGTTGATAAGGATTTTAGTAAAATAAAAATTGCAGTAGAATAAGGATACTAAGTTATTTAGAGGGACAAAAGCATTATCATTTTTTTGTTGTCTCATTTCATTAATTATTTAATTACATTTGTTTTGGTACCGCCAAATCTTCAGCATACTACATTCTATATATATTATTTAATATTGAATATTTAAATCATTTTATATGTACATTTATTTTATATTGAAAAATTTCTTTCTCACAATATAATACAAATTTTCAGCAAAAATTGAAACTGATAAAAGGGGCTCATTCTTCTGAAAGAGTCTACCGCTTCTCCGGCAACTAATAAATAATTATTATCACTAATTAGCTTTAAAGGAAAAGGAGATGATTTTTATGAAATCATCCTCTGTTTAATTTAAGTTAAAAAAATATATCCAATTTTTTTTTCCAAAAAGATTTGAATGTTTTGAATTAATTAATAAGTCTGCGAATAACATATTATTTAAATAGTAAAAGGTTTGGGCTGTATTTGTTCCACCATTTATATTTCTATATCCTTCTTACACTGGCAACGTTTCGGCTCAGTTGCCATTTTCAAGCCATCTGTAAGAATAATAATGAACTTCAATATTAATCTTACAAATGGCTTCAAAACGGCGACATTGACATTACACCGACGAAACGTTGTCAGTGTAATCAGAAAATAAAAATAAAAATGGTAGAATAAATATAGCCTAATCGTTTTATTAGGAATCTAATTTCACCTTAAACTAAAATATATAGAAATATTATTTAGAGATCCAAGGAATGTGTGAATCGGTTCGCAATAGCTACGGAATTATTAGAACGTTACTTCATTGTTTTTTCAATTTTTTTAATCCAAATATTTCAATATGAAAAATAAATTGTGGGTTGATGGTTGACTGTAGTGAATAACTGAACAGGAGAATGGTTTGGGTGTTCAGTCAAATTGAAATGGTAAAAAATCAATAATTTTATTTATTTTTACATTCGCCGACGTTTCGGCTGGAATTTCAGGGCGTCATCAGGGCTGGCTGGGGAAAGAATCAGATAACAATAGGTATAATAACATTGAATAATACAGAATTAAGATTAAAAAAGGGTGATAAGTAAAAACTAATAATTTTTATTAGAACAACTTAACGTAAAATGAAGTTGATAGAATGGACATTAATGTAAAACAAAGTAGGTAGAATGATTACAGTAACAGAGAACTAAGAAATAAATAATAATAACTGTAACAAAGCACGGACCAATGAAATAAGCATAATAAAATATAAGTTAACATAAGAAATGAAAATGTCAATCTAGAATAAAGTGTAAAACAGAGAACTTCGGGTCGAAACGTCTGCGAATTGTAAAAAAAAATAAAAATATTTTTTTTTTACCATTTCAATTTGACTGAACACCCCAACCATCCTTCTCTTCAATGAAAATTAAATATTTATTTATTTTCTCCTACTGTATTTAATATTGGTTTATTTAATATATATACATGTACATATATATATATATATATATATATATATATATATATATATATATATATATATATATAAAACATATATGCATATTAGTATGATCATTATTTGAATTGTAATATCTCAATTGCTACCTACGCACTGTTCCATATT